TTGTAGTTGATGTGAATTAATTCATCACATTTTGTAAATATCATCATTTTTACCTTGTTCAAATTTGTGATAATCACTTGCACTTTAATAATCCATTTTCTCTGTAATACTATAATGTATATGCTGTATGTAATTTCACTTAACAAATTATCTTAAATTCTCGTTCCGATGTTCTATACATTCATGAATGTTGTAGTGTAGTGTATTCATTGATTAGTACAAGTGTATTTTGTACGTTTATTGAATTGTCAGCCCACGCATTTTTCTAGTTCTTTTTGATCAATGTAAACCGACTTTATTGCACATTTGCCAGATAAAAAAATAGCAATAAATTACTTGTAGAGAGGACATAAACTAATTATTTGTGACTAATTGAGTAGACAGTTCACTGTTTCATGTTTTTCTTGTATACATAAATCTCACTATAGCCAATAATTCACATCATGAAGAATAATACGTAACAGAGAATAAGCGTTAAAATTCATGAAGTCAACTTTATATTCACTCGCTCCCAATACGCTTTTCCAAACAGTTGTTTGAATTCGAAAGTCGAATAGTGATTCAGAAGCTGTGATTGCTAAACCCTATAATTCGGCACAAAAACTATTAATTGATATTTGTCTTTCTCATTTAGACAAAGACATATATAGGATGAAGCCTTGACTAGGAGTACAGTCCGCATCCTCCAACAGTATCTCGTTCATCATATATTTTAACCTCCATTGAATCTTTAGATATTATAATGTGAGCAGAGACTTGGTCATTCGGTTAACTACCTAAAAACAAACTTTCTTGTTTAAATGCATAAAGCTACACTTGAACAAGTATTTGAATATAACAGTTCTAATGGTGCAAGAACTTCATGCTTAATTTCTAAAAAGTAAAAAATATGTGTTGTCATCAAAATATAGACAATAATTATTGATTGTTTCTATTACTGTGAACATGCTGATCGATTTTTGCGTAACATACAACACATTAAAAAGGAATTTCATTTCTTTCTTTCTAGTGATTTTACAAGAGAACATGTTTATGTTGTTTTATAATTAATAGTCTAATTATTTTTTTTTTCTCTTACAAAATCTAACAATCATATGATCAGTCTAAAAGCTAACGTAGGATAATGTTAAATAAACATAATTAAAGTATAATATCTAACATTTTCTTATTCGCATTACGGGATTGTGAAGATTGTTAAGTTACACATTTTTGAAACCATGAATCGATCAATGTTAGACCACCATTAGAAACCTGGAAGCACTGGACGGCCGTCAAGTCCTGGTATGGGACTCCTCAGCAGTGCGTTTAGTAAATGAATGCTGTATATAAAAACATGATTTTCATCGAGGATTTCATTCTGTTGATTTAAATCAATTTATATGTCTTCCATGAATAGATCAATGAAGCGGTTACTAACTTGTCAAATGCAAAAAAACTAATCAAGTGAGATCTAAAGCTGAAAATTAAATCCTCAGTGAAAATGATCCTTCTACATAAGGCAACCAACCATTAAATATAAGCAAAAATGACTGGAAATCTTTGATACTACACATATATATTGTGAATAAGTGTTAAAAAAAAAATTGAAAATCGAACAAAGCGATTCACAATATTCACTTATAGTAACAGTTAAATCTTTTCCCGCTTCTTACACAAAACAGCAACAATGAATGAATATTAAGAAATAATCTCGCAACAGGATACATGTGCATAGATTTGTAGTGGACCCCTTAACTTAAGTTGACTGCATAGATCATGAATTTTTATTTGGAACTGTAATATGGATATACATCTCAGAACTATTAAATGTATTGATCAAGAAAAGTACCTTCAACTGGTAAGAAAATTATTTTATTCAATATGGAGTGTTCTTGGTAAGTGGCCTACCACTTCGTTTTCAAACCATATTTTCTGTGATTAGTAATTTGTAACCAATCACTGCTACTCCTGTTTCAACTCATTTGCTGTATATTTCTTCAGCTTCTCTTTCTTTTGATCTAGTAGTGTAGTAACTTAAGTCACTGTATATTTGTGCTATGCCTTAGGCTAACTATCATCAAATGAAAGTAATGGTAAGCATCGTAGATATAAATGTATCAATTAAGACGAGTACAAAAGGTTCAATTTGACAACAATGAAATAAAGAATGAAGGATTCGAGTATTAAGTTGTATTTGTATAAGTTTAATATGAATGCTAAAGTTAGAAGAGATTACACTACAAGCGATCAACTACGTCGCTTCGACTTATTGGTCCAACGATACACAAAAATCAAAACTCGCAAAACTGATAAGAATCTATCAACACAAATATTAATGACAATATGAAGAGACCCCAAAATTAATCTTAAACTCGCTGCAGAGACCAAGTAACATTTCCGATGTGATTCATTCAAGTTAAAATTCAAAGGTGAAACGAGAGACTTTTCAGCTGAGACTCGACTAGTCAAAATAGGGGTTCCCTCAAAACGGTCAGACAAATGAAAATATACGAACGAATACGATATAGAAGTGATCATAATTGCAACTAGTCTCTAACAGTGAAACCCAACAGACGTTTAAATAACTAAATAGCACTTCCTTTAAATATTTATTCGAATGAAGTATATCATAATTTCTTCTGTTATGATTTCAAAATAGATGAAGGAATACTTGAAAAGATTCAAACAGAGCATTATAAAACGGAGATTACTGTTTGAAAGAAGAAAATGCATACAACAGTTATCAATGGTGTACTTTCAGTGATTACGACTTTCAACCTACAGACATGGCAGTCGTTATAAATACAACAGTGGAGTAGATCAGTTATCAATGTGTATATTGTGATAATCAGTGTCATTGGTGTCATTCAACAGTTTGATAAACCAGTTGTATCTGACTACAGGGTGGCCAGTCTTAAACATGGCAGAAAACTACGAAGTCACAAACAAGTGGACTGAAACATGTTGGTAAGTGTAGACTACCAGGTTGGGGTCCGCAAGATGGTTATAGACCTTGAACGACATAGCTCAAAACCGTTTGCAATAGCGGGGGTGCATTCATTCTTTGTGTCCTCTCAAATTCTAACCTTCTGAATTCCTCACTACCTTTGTCTTTTCTTTCTAAAGTTATCTCACTGAATTATACTTCTCGAATCATATCTTCCAACCCTAATCATCTCCATTACTGCTAATACTTATACTCTTTTTACACATTTGAAATCATTAATCAATCATCATTGTTAGACCACCATCAGAAACCTGGAAGCACTGGACGGCCGTTTCGTCCTAGTATGGGACTCCTCAGCAGTGCGCATCCACGACTCCTGCTCCTCGCAGGATTCGAACCCGGGACCTTTGGCATTGTAGGCGAACGCCTTACCATCGGACCACTGGGCCGGCATCCAACGGTGTTAATGTCTAACTCTGATTGATCTAGGGATTTCGCGCGACCTCACCCATTTGTCTTTGGTAGTTACTGCCTACACCCGACAGGGTTGAACTCCACCGGTCACGTCTTCTCAACTAGAACTCCGAGAATTTCCTCACGAAGCTAGTCACTAGTGAGAAGACGTGACCAGTGGAGTTCAACCCTGTCGGGTGTAGGCAGTAACTACCAAAGACAAATGGGTGAGGTCGCGCGAAATCCCTAGATCAATCAGAGTTAGACATTAACACCGTTGGATGCCGGCCCAGTGGTCCGATGGTAAGGCGTTCGCCTACAATGCCAAAGGTCCCGGGTTCGAATCCTGCGAGGAGCAGGAGTCGTGGATGCGCACTGCTGAGGAGTCCCATACTAGGACGAAACGGCCGTCCAGTGCTTCCAGGTTTCTGATGGTGGTCTAACAATGATGATTGATTAATGATTTCAAATGTGTAAAAACGAACACCTCCAAAACTGTGCCCCAATATAATACTTATACTATCGCCACCACTATGGAATTTGAACTGACAGTTGCGTCTCTGTGCTGATGCGGTATGGTAATCTGAACTTATGTACTCATGTACGAAGTTCTACGTTGTAACTGACTGACTGACATCTGAACCAAACGCATTTACTGTAGCTTAGCACTGACTCTTGTATGATCTGTCTGATAATGATAAATACACCAAGATAATAAGAATGTTAAAAGACTTAGAGTAAATCGATCCTATTGTATTTATCATAGTTTCCAATTTTGGCAGTATTCTCGTTCAGTTTTCATTTCCTTTGTCTCAGACATTTCTGGTAGTTTCGAATAAAAGGAGTGATTGGACCACAGGTAAGAAATTCGCTGAGTGTACAGTTGCACTGTATCTCCGGACAAGTGTGATTATATGAAAATTGAACTTCTTATCAATCAGTAGTTGAATGACGAAAGACAAACTACCAAAGCCATACCAAATCAGGGGGGCAGATAACAGTTTAGTGACATCCTTAACGAATAACCTCGTCCGACCAACTTGTTTTTACTGAACAGAATAAATAATTCCAGTATTTCAAAATAATGATAATAATATACATACTAATTCTGGTGCCCAGTTGTGCCAGATTTTGTCAATTAAATAAAAATAAAAAACTTTAGCAGATAAAGGATTTGTGAAGATTATTGAATCTGGCTGGTAGTTACGTGATATCACAAATTGATTGAAGTGACATATACAAACCATATCATTTTGAATCAGTGATCTGAAGGTTAGGCGCTAGCCACGAGATTTGAAGGTCCTGCGTTCGATCTCCTGTGATGGGATCACAGATGCGCGTAGATGAATATCATATGACGACTAAACAGCTATTTAGTGCCACCTAATTTTAAATGGTTGTTAAACTAAGATCGACCCGCGATGTTAACTACCAAATAAAAGAATCCATTGGTTTTTTATGTAATGGATGCGATTGTATGTTACACTACACCAGGCCCATTCATTAGAAAATGAGTAAAATACTAATTAAAAAGACGTAAGCAAGTAACATCACAGTGAGCTTATCAATACATCAACACTATATACCGCCAGTAATATCAATAACAATAGGATTATCAAGTGAAATGCATTTAAATCTTTTCTGGGTTTGCATTTTTTACAGGAAAATAGTAATAATAAGAAGAATAATAAGTACAAGTTGAAAAGTGATAAAGATTATACAGTATATGTATATATAAATATATATACTTTACATTGTACATAATCGTTTATTTACTGTACACTATTCGATTTCTGTCTGACCGCAACTTATCACAAGCATCACCTTCTCGTTGAAGTAAGTCGAGGATCACGTGACAATTGACTAGTTGTGTATTGTTGCAAAAGGGGCGGAGGTGGTGGTGGTGGTGGTGGAAGAAGACACTGTTCTACAGACGAGAAATGTGATGATGCTTTGGTAGTAGTGATGGTAGTAGAGATAACTGAATCAGACAAACAAGATGATGATGATAATACAGGTGGATGATATGAGGTATATTTGTGTGTTTCCATTTTAGGCGAAGAAGTAGTTGTCATATTATCTATTAATGAACAATTAGTCCGAGGATAACGAACAGAAGAATAAACACCGGAATTATGTTGTTGTTTTTGTTGTTGTTGATGATGATGATGATGACTAGGGGGAACACAAGGTGAAGAATACATTTGCGAAGCAAAACCTCCACTTTCTTTGTGATGTCTCATATTCGATTGACCTGGTGGACGATTAAAAGCATTATCGAAACGTGAACTATTGTTGTTCCTGAAAAAAAGATAGAAAGAAATTAGAACAAACGCATACAAAACGTTCAAAAAGGATAAAAACCAACACAAAAATGGCATAACATACCTATCTCGACTGAATTCTTTATGTGAACTTGTGGTAGATGAAGAAGACCAATCAATATTATTATATTTATTCTGTCCACCAAGACTGTAACCACTATGCTGTTCATGACGATCATTTCGGTCATGCGATGATAACCTATTTGTATGATATCGTCGAAATGATGAAGCATTATTATTATTATTATTATTATTATTATTGTAGTAATCACGATTTAATGAGTGATGATTTGATGTTGTTTCAAGATAATCTTTAGTACTACTACTGTTATGTAATGAATTCCTATGATGTTGTTTTGGTGAAGAATCGAAATCGACATCGTTTGTCTTTCTTCGTTGTTCTTTTAATCGACGTTTCACAGCATGTCTGTAGATATGTCGTAGTTCTTCAGTGGAATTCTTTGAAAAGATATGAACAAATTCCCATAGATAACTACAAAATAACAGTTAACAGATTAATGTTATTCGTGATTATTATCAGATAAAGAATGATGTTTTCAAAATTAGGATGCGAACATAAAGGAAAATATCTATCATTTAAGTGGTTGACATAACTTACATAGCTTACATTAAAAACCAACAATAGTTAGGTGCCCACTGAATATCATGAAGTGCTGGATAGCCGTTTATGCCTAGTATGAAACTTATCAACAGTACGAAAATACGGCCTAATTAAAGATCATATCTAGGGACTTACTGGTTTTGCAACGAGCGTTTAACCTTAAGATTAGTGAGTCGGTATTCAAAGGTTTGCATCTCTAGCCTTACAAAAATTGGTAGTAAAAAATTAACAAAGACAATTGAAGCATACGAATTATCAATGCCATCAGACAATAAGAGCCATCAAAAAACATGATAACACAATTAGAGATTAAAAGGGATACTGTTATGAAACATTATTTCCCATGATAATCGTAGGAGTTTTGACTTTTCAGTTGAAAGCTTCAAGAGAATAATTGATAGAGGTAAATTTACTGAGATATAAGTAACTGCTCATTCTATGACTTGATGATAAATTCACGTTTATTCGCTTAATGTTGTTACTGCTGAGGCACATTGTTTTTACATTTAAGTGAGTACCAATAATGAATACCCAATTGCTAACAATTTAACAGGTGAAACAGGGTTCGAATCAGAGATCTACTTAGCAAGATTCGATCTAATTTCAAGTCGAATGAACATAAGACACAATTGTTAAGAAATCGAGCACCCAGAAAAAACAATGATTTTTCTAAAATGTTAAAAACTAGTTAGAAAAGGAATAAAACAGCACAAAGTAAATCCCGATTCACACACATACTTTTTCCATGCATTACGTTTTTCTTTATCTGCATAAACATCTACAATGGAATGAATATGATCACCAATTTTTAAAACGACATTAGCCAGTTTTACTGGGTTTTGTTCGTCGGTTCGTTCAAGATCTTCTAACTCCTTAAAATGCTTCTTTATCGGTACAAATTTTTTTTTACACTGTGAAGTAAAAAAATAACTTTTTTACATTAACCAGTCAATACATTTCTGTGAATATTTTGGCAATCATTTAATATAACTGAATTATGCTTGTGTTATGAAATACGGGATAATGATGACTGCAGTTTAGAAAAATGCAGTTGAGCTCGAACCGTACTGTAACTTGTTAGTGAGAGAAACAGATATATGGTTAATGGAATGATGAAATTCAACTAATATATAGATTTAAATTTCACTTCTAGATTATCAATACAACTAGATAAAACTATTGTAGTGAACGAGAACACAGGTGGGGCAACCGAATTGCATTTAACGAAAATTCCAGAGTTACTCAGTAAAATCGGAAAACCATATCGTAAATCGTTAATTTACAAAACATCAGTTCATCATATCGAACTGGACTGTTCCTGTTGCAAAACATCATTGTCACTATTCATGCATTTCATACAAATTCCATTGTGTTCTAACTCTTCCTTTCTTGATCTTCCCCCATCTTATGCTGCCAGATATTATGTTGACACTCACGTCATATACTACTTATAAGTAGCTCACACCACACTATTAGCCAAATATTCACTTAATCTTATGTTCAATCGTAATAATTATGATGATGATAACCAACAAATGCTGGAAAATTTTGCTTAAAAACATGAAGGAAAAACTCATACTTAACATTGATTTCTGGAACCTTGACTGAAATCAGTAAAAATTGCCACTGAGTAGTATTATCGACAAATAACATTTTATAACACGTGTAGTGATTCTTTTGTTCAGTTTTATTTGCTAGAAGTAATGGTATGATAATGCAAGTAGCTTTGATAATAAACTACTAATACGTGGTATTTTTAGTCTATATACATGTTTTTCTTCCTGTTGAAAGATTATTTATCTAAAGTCTAAGAAAACAGTTCATTTCAGTCAAATGAATTATGGTAGCTTAAATAAAAAAAAGCAGACGAATAGTTTGCGTTGTTTTATACGCAAACTGATGGTTTAACGATTGCGGCACTTGATTATCAACGATTCCATTACATGTCCTAATTCCCCCCGTCGTCTATTCATTTCTCGCTGAAGATAGAGGGTGAGATAAGGTGCGTTATTGGGATGACAGCATATGCTGGTTGTTTGAGGATAGTTTACTAACATTAAGCTAGTAGTAAGACTTCGCACTCGAATTCCAAATTGTGAGTTTTAGTACGATAACCACCCAACTGACCTGATTAGAGTGATATACATAAAGGATAGAATGTTTTAGCTATATCTCGATCGAATCATCACAACACGCCTGCTTGACCATGTCCGCGTTGCAACTATGATAGTAAACATTGGAGTAAATCAGTCAGCTACAACATAGAACTTAGTACGTACATACATCAGTTCAAGTTGCCGTACCACATAAGCGCAGAAAGATGGAATGGCTAGTTCGAATTCCGTAGTGATAGAGGTAGTAGCAGTATTAGCAGTACTATTAATAGCTGTATTAAAAAAATGTTTTACAGTTATGTACTTGACTTATTTAGTTATATTGAAACTGTTTTAATATTTGTGCAAACAAATTAAGGATATAAATTGTGTAGAAGTTGATTTACACTACTTGGAATATACTCTCAGCGTCGGTGTTGTCTCAGAAAAATTACAACTTAAATAAATCGGATAGTGAACATATGAAGTATCAAGCATATGAAGTAAAGGTTCAATCAATATTCCCAACACTGACTTTCTCTTACAAAATATAGTATGAAAACTAATAACCTAAAATACTTGTTTCTACTGAAATGTTAAAAAATCAAGAAGTATATAGTCGTAAACTGATCTGTAACATGAAATTATATAAGCATAGAGTTAACTTACTTTTACAAAAATTGGACCCTGCATATTACGAAATTCATCTTCTTCCTCTTTTGTAAACAGCAATGTTGATGTATCGGATAAATTCTCTTGATGAATAGATGAAACAGGAAGAAGTGCAGGAGGTTTTGATTCTGAAATATATTTGTCCTTTTTCTCAGATTTGATTTTGATTGATTTTGTTTTGGATTTGACTGTAGATTTCCTAGATTGTTTAGCATTATTAGACAGTAGATTCGGTATAGTATCATTATCAGCATCACCGTCCTCCTCTTTATCATTATATTCGTCGTTGTCTGATTCCGACGACGAGTCGTCAGTTTCTACAAATTCTGCTGATTTAGGCATCGAATTAGTCGAGGTAGATATAGGCTTAGTAGTATGTTTTACATTTGGTTTAGAAGCGACAGTTTTAGTTTTTTGATTGGACTTGTTTGACTCCTTATCTTCTTTTCTCTTTTTTTTAGTAGCCACCTGTTGTTCAGTATTTTTACTGATTGATGACTGACGTTTAGCTAACATTTTTAAAAGATAATCTACACGTGACCGCAAATGATTGGCTTGTGGACGTTCTGTTTGTGAAACTGGGAGCAATTTAGAGCCTAGACCTAAGTCGGCATCTAGTTTGATTGTTTCCCAATTGTCATATCCGTGCTCATAAACTCCCGCTAAAAGTCGAACATCATCAGTATTGTCCCAATTGCACGACCAAGCGACTAATTTAGGAGAAAATGGTAATTTATACGACATACGCGCTTCTTTGCTAGTAGCAGGTAGACACAAGTGAAGAGTTTCTAGATACTCTAGACTTTGCAGTAAGGGTCTTGCAGCCACACTAACGCGACCATATTGAAATACAGGCCCTTTACCGCCAGTCGCTTGTTTCTGAGACTCTTCATTTGAATTAATAGAGGTCGCTTCCATGGCCGCTCGACAACCTTTTAGAACAGCATCTACCACCTCACGGAGTTCAGACTCAGAATGATCAGGAAGCTCAGCGTCAGCTGCTATTGCATCAATACGTTCTAGAGGGCGCGCGAAATGTCTGATTGCACGAACCAAAGCGCGGATTTCTTTTTCAGTAAGTTGAGTTGGAGAAACTTTGTCGTTTTCTTCAGTCTCAGACGCCTCTGAAGAGGATTGATTGCAACTTAGTCCTGCTTGAAAAGTTTTTACAGGACGCCTACGTCGTGGGCCCAACTCAAGCTCGACTAAAGTTTTTCGATCTTCTTCTGCCTTTACTTGTCCCCGAAATTCACTGGGAATAATTTGATCCCATGTTTTTTCACACCCTGTATTCAGTGAATTTGATGAATCTTTTCCATTTTTAATATCAACGTCTTCTTCCAATGCATCCAGGTTTACAACTTTGAATGAAGAAAGCAAAGCGTTAGCTGGATTGGATTCTACTGTAGCTTCTGTATCTCGTGTTTCCGCTCGATTGAGAATGTCGTCAATATCAACTTCCAATTCTGTAGCGTCTTCGTCTGCTTGTCTGAATAACCCTTCTGCACCGTAACGAAGAATTTCAGTTAGTAAATGACCTTTAGCTGTATCCCCACGTCGACCACTACGAATGCCAGCTGCATCCATTCTTTGAATAACTAAATGATCTAAAACCATTTTACGTGTAGCACTTTCAATTATTTTCTCTTCTACAGACTCACGAGTAACAAAACGATAAACTGATACTTGTTTAGTTTGACCTATACGATGTGCCCGTGCTTGAGCTTGTAGATCATTTTGTGGATTCCAGTCAGAATCAAATATGATGACAGTATCAGCTGTTGCTAGATTAATACCAAGACCACCAGCACGTGTAGATAACAAAAAACAGAAATCTGTTGAACCTTCACAATTAAAATGATCTAATGCCTGTTTACGTACTTCACCTCTTATTGATCCATCAAGGCGTTGGAATCCCCAACCACGTAAACTTAGATAATCAGCTATAAGATCGAGCATACGAACCATTTGACTAAAAATGAGAACTCGATGTCCTTTTGATTTAAGACGTTGTAATAACTTGTCTAGCAAGGTACCTTTGCCACTACCTCTTAAAAATGATCGTAATCGATCTTCTTTCGTTTGATATTGTTGATCAACTTCAGATGGAGGTGCAATTAAATGGGCATGATTACAACATTTTTTTAATTCCATAACAATGTTAATAAAGGAAGCTTTATGACCACGTGTTACTTTTAATAATCCATCATAATTACGTGCTAAAATTAATCTATATATATTTGCTTGTTCTTTAGTCATATCAACTCGTAAAATTTGTTCAATTTTTTCCGGTAATGAACTTTCCACATCTTTTTTCACTCGTCTAAGTAGAAAAGGTTTCAGTGTTTTGTGAAGATTATGAAATGCTTCATTATTCATTTTATTAGCTGGATCATCAGGAGAAACACTATAGGTCTGTTCAAACTCTTCCCAATCTGGAAAACAATCTGGCATAATAAAATGCAACAATGCCCATAATTCTTTCATAGTATTCTGTAAAGGCGTTCCTGTAACCAATAAACGAGTATTTGTTTCAAATGTCTTTAAAGTTTTGTACAGTTGGCTTGAATCATTTTTTAAACGATGAGCTTCATCAACTCCTAAAAAAGCCCAATTTACTTGACTAAGCCAACCTTTATCTTTTAACAAAATCTCATAAGTGGTTACACAAACATTGAATTTTAACGATTGATGGCGTCTGTTGTTATTTGAAGCTCCAGTTGACCATTCATGTTCTCTAATCAATTGTCGTGATACATGGTCACCAGTGTATATTATAGTGTTCATTTCTGGTGCCCAAGTTTGGAGTTCTTTCTGCCAGCTTGATATAGTGCTTAATGGAACAACAATAAGAAAAGGTCCATACACATGATGTTCATTAAACAAATACGAAAGAAATCCGATAGTCTGAATAGTTTTTCCTAATCCCATTTCATCCGCTAAAATCACACTATTCCTACGTGTCCAGGCACGAATCAACCAGTTAATACCCTCAAGTTGATAATCACGTAGACGAAGTTCCTTTGAGCGGCCAAGGTAAGAAGGTTGTTCCATTAGTGGAAGAAATTTTGGTCGTGTATAAAGTACTTCACACTTTCGATTGGGCAGTGTAGTAGAATTACAACGAGTTTCATAAGCTTGAACTGCTGATTCATAGAGTAAGTGTATAACTTTTCCAGATTCCCAAGTGCAGAATCGGTAATCCAAACGAAACCATTTAATGAGATAATCAAAAGTATTTGTATCTGGATCGCGGCTGTGTGCTACTATACGTTCAACATTCATCTTATCTTGTAAAAGTTGTTCGTCACGTTCTTCTTCATAAGCCACAGTTTCTAATTCTTCCCTTTCAACATATCGTAAACGCTCACTTTTTTCTCGCATAATGGCTTGATACGCATAGAACTTTTTCATACCAGCAACTGGTGCACCTCGATCTGGATTACGTAATGAAGATTCAGTTTCCCATGTGGAATGAATATGACTCCAATTACGCCATTTAATAAGAAATTGTAATTCGCCATCTTCCTGTTTAGGATTAAAACCGGCATTTAAATCTTTTTCCAATTGTGTATTGTACAGGGTTGTAGGATTGCCAGTAGCTCCTTTACGTCGGACCGCATGAGTTAATATTTCTTCAATAACATCAGCTTCTTCATCATCAACTACCCATTCAAGTTCCCTATTAACTTCACCACCAACACCATCTTCATCCTCTTCTGAATATTGTTCATTTAAGCCAACTTGATCTAAATTACTATCATCTTCTGATTTTGTGGATAACTTTGAATTTCTAAAACGAAAAATAGAGACTGTAGATAGATAAATATTTAAAACTAGAAGGCACTGGGGTAGTTATTTTTTTAATATATGACAACACAAAGATAGAAACCAAATAACTTGGAGACAGTAAATTGTCTTCGAGACAAGTGATATATATATATATATATATATATATATATATATATATATACGCATATATAAAACATATTACTAACCTGTTTGTTAAGACTGGTGCATAAGGCTTTCTAACCAAAGGACCTCTTGGCTTCTGAAAACATGTTTGTTGACTGAAATGTTAGCCAGAGAAAAAAACAAATGACATCATCAGCAACAACAATAGTAAATTAAGAATAGAAATCAAGAGACTGTAAAAAATACATTGTGTGTATATTTGACATGAATGTATAGAGGTAATGTATTACTAACGTCAGTAAAAACAAAATGTTAATATCTATGGTGATAACAATGGCAATAGTAATGATAATAACAGTAATGATAATAAAAAAATATCGTATTTACTTTAGTATTGGCACGGAGCCATATGAAGTTCGTTGATTGACTGATTTAAATATACTTGAATTAGATCGTTCCGATGGTTCGTCGTTAGATTCATCAAAACTGTCATCTACAAAAGCACTTTTGTAATTGACACGATTTCCTCTTGTTTTTACTGTACGATGTCTTACCTTGTGAAGTAGATAATAAGACAAAAAAGAAAATGTTTAACATAGTAGCTAGTCATAAGCTTGAATCAACTTTTGGTTACATTTCCAGGGAATAGTGATACTACCAAATAGCATGAACGAAAGTGGAGTAGGGTTCAACCTAAAACCTAGCGAAATTACCTAACTCCAGCACGATAAAACTAGTAGGTTATGAACATGGAGTTAAACTTGGGAATTGAAGGCTTTCTAGAAACTACAATACTATAGAACCACCAGGGAGAAGTATAACCTTGACATCAAATATTTTATGTGGTACATTGATTACATTTAGGGATTACATTTTGGAAGATGATCATTATATTGTAACTACGAATATGGAGAAGCATGCATGACAAAGTATCAACGCGATTTACGATATCTAATAACCATGTTTTGAACTTAATTGGATGAATTCAGTAGGTAGTAAGGATTATATTACATTTTATTTTTTTTACATTTTAGTCTAAAATAATCATCGGATTTCACAGACAATCGACACTACTAGTTTAACGAATATCACGAACATGACAGTCAATTTAGAGACAACGAAATTAATTAATAAAAGCCTAATGAGAAAGTATGAAGGTATAAATAATAGCTTTGAATTCCAAGGAAAAATCCAGATGATACCAGATAACTAGGACTATAGCTTTTATGCAAGAGTATCATTGGTTATGAGCTTGTAAGTCAGAACTATATCCCATAAACTGTTAGCTGAAGTTTGATTGAATACTTGAACTAATTAAGATTTTTTGGCAACCATTGGGATTCCTTTTTGATACACAACTATAATACTAATACTCCAGTTATATATTCCATAAAGTAATTTAATTTTGCAACGACCAGTTAACTTACTTTTTGTCTAAATCGCTAATACTGATCGAATTCTATCAGACAAATTACCTTGTGAGCATTGGTCTAAATGACTCATTTTCATTCACTGATTGGGGTTATATTACTTGACCTAAATCAGGTAGTTTGCACATACCAACACCGCTCAATTCAAAGGTCAATGAGTTCATTGACAGATGTCACGATAAAATAAGTCCCATGTTAACGATATGTTTACAAATCCCAAGAGTATGAGGCGAGATCATTTGTAAATGTAGTTTAATCATAAATTTTAGACAATTCTATGAATCCCCGAACGTGAAGGAAGTAATAACTAAGGATTTTTACAGTTAGTTATGGTTAATAACGCTACACTCAATCCAGAAGCTAACTACCTACTGTTAGTGGGAAATACACACAAAAATTCAAGTTTAGAAAAGTTAGATCTGACAACTAAGTGTCAAAGGTGAAATGATTTAAAATGGAGTATGGTAGTGTACACTAAAATTTACTTTTTAATTCCTAAGCATTCGTGATTTTGAAAAATAAAATTATTGTGATAATAAAGATAACAAAACTAATACACAATCTGTCTGCATCGTTGTTTAAAACTTACTGAAATGTTATCATTCCAGTCGTCTGTTTCACTATCTGTTACGTTATTACTATCTGAACTGCTAGGAAAACGGCCTTTTCTCTTTTCTCGTAAACGTGCGTCAGTTGTTTCTTTCTCTGATGCTTTAAAACGTAATGGTTCTTTACGACTTCGAGCAGATCTACGTATACCATATAGTTCCGGATAATCTTCAAATTCTTCGCGAAGCTGAACGCAAAAAAATAATTTTTTTAAAACTACTTTTCAACTAGTGGATAGAAAATTCGATATCAAAAGTGGTTTTAGAGTGAGCAGTATCTATAATAACATGAGACTGACTACAGTTACCAGATAAGCGTACCTCTCTTATATTTTGTTTTCTAGATCTTGTTGGTTGTGGTGGTGAATTTGATACAACAGTATCTTCCTGAGGCGAAGATTCAGATTGATCTGTTTGGGATATTGATCCGTCACTTCTGAAAAACAACATAACCAAAAGATGTCGTGTTAGACTTAGTATCACTAATGAGGAAGATAATTTTAGGATGTTAACAACATCAGATACTATTATTAAAGGCAACAATCAGAATTTAAGACAAAAATACGACAGTATATGACAGAACAGAACGAATTATCTTAAATCCTAGAAATAGGTTGTCGCTGAGAACTGAGTTTAAAAATCGATAGACAGATTTTCTAACATCAGAAAAGATTATCTCGATGTCAACTTTAGTTAACTGCTTAAAGATTCAGCATAATACAAACATCAGTAAAAAAATATCGGTTGATAGATAACTCCACAGGATATATGAAAAGAGTATTTCACATACAACCCATATAAAACTATTTGCTCCATTGCATAAGAAAACTATGGCCTGCATTCGGATGAATGAATATCTAGACACAATACAAAATAATTTGCTTAAAATCGATCCTAACCATAAACTTACAATCCTTACTTCAACCTCAGCTACCATGATGTCTTGTGGTTTAACTAAAATCACGTAGATAACCTGGATAAGTAAACATATTCTATCTATTCCTCGGTCAAATTACACAAGCTACACGAAAATATTTTGTTAACATCGATAACTTACTGAGTAATAATCTCATGTTTGTCTAGTCCTCTTAGTACTGATCGAAGTCTACCGACCGAATCACTAAGTGATCACTTAGCTTAAGTGGTTCGCACGGATTGCTTTAACTTTATGTGGTTGCGTGGAAAAGTACAGCCAACGTTAGAGGTATAATCACGTGGAGTTCTCAAGAAGAATGCTGAGATGCGTATGTATACTAAGACGTCAACTTATATTTTGCGTGGACTAGCTTCTCGTGATGATTTTGTGCTTGGAGACATTAAATGATCGTGCGAATCACACTTCCGTTGTAAGAAATAGCAGTAAACTTCGGACAGACATCCTAATACTAACAAAATCACAGTACTGTATGTCCACAGGCACCAAACGGATCATAAATGTGAACACACATCTATAAAAATGACTCTGAGAGTTGAACAAAATATTTCAGTAGGAAGGCCATAAGTTACGAATTTATGCTGTTGATCAACTAACGTAACTGTATGGGAAAAAAATTGAGAAAATAGCAGCAGGAACAGTTCTTCAACCATCAAGAAAGATATTTCTAACATTGTGTCTCATGTCAAAATATTCGTTCAGCAGAACCTCAAATTGTGTACACATGTAAATCAGTTAGATTTCTCAACAGCGAGTCAGTTTAACGTGAATCATACTGCAGTCTGTTTTCACTTAAAGGCATTCAACGATTCATGTCAACCAACTTTGTTAGAACTATTAACCTCCGGAAGTCCGTTCACAATGAATTAGAATAAAAGTTTGACGTAGTCATCGAACAAGAAGTATATGTCGTTGCATAATTTTAGTCGCCCAAAGTCAATGAAGATACTTTCCATGCAAATATTAACATGTTTCTAGGACCGAAATTGCAAACTGAATCCGCAGTTAGGTAGTGGGCGCACATTTCGCACGATTATATACCTAAACACTCACAGATTATGGGCTCTTACACCATGATGGGACAATGAACGACCCACAATCTACTCGATTCGCTAATAATCGATGATCTGGATCCAATTCTCCTTAATAGCATATCAATATATGTTGTAATCATTAACAAACCACGGGAACTTATTTTTCTCGGACGCTTTTCCAACGTGCGCACCGGACCTTAATACGTAAAGATCTAGTTTTCTGTTTACCGATTCATTGGGGTTCATAAACAAAAGCTACAATTGGATGATTCGGAAGGAAAGAAGGCCACATGGATTGAAATAAATGTGTAGAACATCAGGTTCTTTGTTCCGTGAACTAGTCACACCAGTTATGATCATATACAACACAATAAGATGGGGTGCATATTACGATCTGCACAAATTCATAGAAACCATAAATTGAAAGCAAGGGAAGTCAGTATGTGACCGAGATCTTAACAAACGGCTGCTCCATTAAGTAGAGAAACTCTCATACCAACCAAACCTGCGTTCAGATTACAGAGAAGTCCCAACCCATCTATTAATCATCTTGTACACTTCGGTGGCAATGCGAGCATATTCAGTAAACCATTAACATATATATGTAGCGAAAATATCAAAGGCCTATGGACCCAACGAGCATAGTGAATCATTATTTGCACTAATATGACCCAACCAAGTCCTGAAAGCTGAAAATTCCTGAATATTAGAACTCCTATTTGGTCACTTTTCAAACAAACGATAGCAAGTCAGAAACCACACTTAAAAACAGCACACAATTATGTTTTATTGTCATTACCAACGATACCAAGTGCAACGTAAGCTTTAAAGTACATACGAACACTCACCACAACTTGCTGTGGGATAAATACCCGACTGCTAATAAACATAAGCGATCAATTTATCAGGATGTCTTAATTGGAAGTATTACCTATCATCATACTGAAGTGAAGCGACCAATCCCCGGGGATTATTTGGGAATAAGATTTAACTGAACTATGACCTAACAAGTAAGAATTCGTCTATGTCTGATCTGACCAGAGTCGTCAGCTTTCACACTGCACATTACGATTTGCCAGGAATCTTGAATCTCACTGCTGTTTTTTCACGATAGCAGCAATGGTCGATGATAGGTGCATTGTGTAGGAATTCAGTTAGTTTGAAATCAGATAATGTTTACACTACCAATTTGTTTATTGGGATTCCATTAAACAAGTTTCGATTTAGGTTGTTAGTGTTCTACCGACATCTATGCGCTTAACTACATCTAGTGGTATAAACCTGTACTATTGAGTTAAACCATACACAGATCACGAGCCAACAAACCCTAAATCTCGTATGACTGAGTTTTCGATTCAAAAACCAACTCGTGAGATCTGATCGAGGACTAGATGTCGTTGTGCTAGCGGAGTAGTGACACGACACGGGTCGAACGCGATGGCTTAGTCAGTTTGAGGAACTGAAATCAGTAGGCGTTCCGAGCTGGTCCCTTACACTAACCAGTCGCTAGTGTAACTGCACATCAGATCTAGAAGCAGTGTTACAGGGAGAAAACAACTAAGAAGATACCAGTGTCGACTACACCTACCAGCTGCTGGACAAATTACAGGCCGACACCATGTAGTCCTACATTAGATTTGTGATAATCATTCCTAAGTCCTACATAAGATTTGTGATAATCATTCCTAAAGCAGCCAGAACTTATACTATTTATGGAACATACGTAGAAGCAGAAACGCGCGGATTTCTAAGCCAACACTCACTAACCGGTGCGTAAATGCCGAAAGCCAGTGGTGACATTATTTATGTAACCCTATAAACAAACTGAAAACGACAAAATGTGTAATCAGACGAACCGCTCAGATAAACTAGATTAGTGAAGCCGATTTACCATGCATAATAGGAAAAGTCTTCTTACTGACAAATCTAGAGAATCACATGAAGGGCCCAAGAAAACTGCCTCTGTATCAATGAACAGTTAGCATTAAGATATAGAAAGTACAAAAACCTCTTGCCAGACAACCCGTACTTTGCGCAACTGACTAGTTATTCAGAGACCTCTTGATATAAACTAACGCTGGCACCAAATAGCGAATACGAACTGTGAAGGTACACTAATACGTTCTTCATGCACCATAATCTAATATACTTTGGCATAGTTAGAAGGGGTTTTGCCATGAATGCGGATACGTTGAGTGAAGTCGTCTTTGGACGAGCGTACACCAATATATTTCGGTTTTTCCGAAGCAGATTTCCCTCACTTGAAGACTGAAACTACTTAACTCGCTATAAGTTTAAAAACTGGTCACACCTAGCATGTGCTTTAATCATAGAAACATGCCAAGTAATAAGCATTGACAAAAATAAGATATCACACCTATGTTATAAACTGTATGCGCTGAGCAATATGTTCGTAACCTATGGAAGCTTAATGTTTGAAATAGAATAATAAACACGAATGAAACAAAAAGTTATGTCGCTACCTGTAGTGTGACAGGATAGTTACCAGCATACACTTTACAGTAAAAACCTACTGAAGTGAAAGCGATAATTTGCAGAAGCAAAGTTAAAACTGGGATAATGAAATGAGTTTTCCAATGACAATTTCCCATTACACTGGAGGATTAGAAAACGAATCTGGATGTTCTTGTGAGACAGCTAGTAAATCCTAAGATTGATGTTACTTAATCGTTGTTAACATCAATTCTCGGGTTATATTTATGATCAGCATTGTGCAAGAAACTAAGATCGCAACAAACTAACTGCACCGTTAATACTACCACTCACAGTTAGACAAGACGCATACCGCGGGAAAAATTAGCATCCCTGCTTGAACTCAAGTGGAAAATGCATAGAAAATTTGTAATAGAAATTGTATTCAAGATTATAATGTTACAGACATTAATGAAGCATTTTCAAATACATCGGATTCGCAATTTCAAAAACTTGGGGTTTGTACATGGAAATCAAGTGAATTTCAAATTTTAAATGCAAAAGGAAGTTATAAAAGGATAGTATTTGTTGACCACTCGACCCACACATTCAACCTGAACTTTAACTGCCGAAACATGATTAAAATATTTGATGAAAATATGGTGGGCTGGAAATTACTTTTTGAGCACCTTTTCTACGGCGATTAGAGCGGATAAGGAGCTACATTTACTTCGGACAGAAGTGTGGCTTATGGCTGACGATATGGGCCTATTTTTGATGGAGACTGATAAGAACCAATTTATTGTTTACTTATTGGATTGAAGTAATGTTTATCAAGAAAGCATCACGGAACCAGCAAGACATAGATTAAAGCTCAGAAATGTTTAACAGTATAGTAATTGTCTCCTTATATTCGGTACCGTGGCGTACGCTCAACAGCGAACATGCCGAGCGTGCACTGGCCAGCACAGCCTTAACCGACGTGACTTCATTAAGACTAGAAATATTAGGTGGATGCCATGATAAACTATTACAGACACATGGTGAGGATCATGAAGAATATCTTGAATATTTAAAGAGGATTCGTGAGAACAATGAAGAAGATGGGGGGTCACGGGTATATGAATGTGGTTAATTTTCACAGTTAACCCCAACCATAATATACCGGGAGTGACTGTTGAGTAATCTCAACTGACTTGATAAAGGGTTATTAACTTACCAGGAACTGCGAACATTTTTGCCGGTCACACAATGATGCGACTACGTTCACCGTTTTCTTAGCCGTTCAACGTAGACGAGCGCCACGACACCCGTCGCCGCAGAAGTTAATAGTGAACTCAGGAGTCAGTTAACAGACACCGAGCTCGAGTCAGTGTCAACTCTAAATTCAGTGACTGAAAATCCACGAAGCCCTACAAGACACAGCCCTTAAACCTAGTACCTCCACTCGTTACTAAAATCGCAACCGAACACTTGATGATTTTAACCATCTTAATAACAATACCTCGTATTCATCTTATCATTGCTGATACTATAGACGACCGACTTCCTCCTGTTCCGATGCGACATTTTACAATCTCGACAGAGACACTTGTTCTGTGTAGCGCCAATTATTCTTTATTCACTATAATCAGGAAAGAGTTCGTACTAGTTATTTGAGTCTTGGTATCCATTCCACTTAAAATCTCTGAAGTGTGTCCTACAGGAAGTTGGAGGTAGCACATTGTCAGTCAGCACATCTCTATCTGCAATCACTTCCCCTTTCAACGGGGCACCGGTAAACCACCCCACGCACTGAATGTCTCTGGACATCTAGGAAGTCATTATTACTAGCAAGAACAGTTATGTTTTCAAAAATATATGGGATACGTTTGCTAATGTTGGTTAAATACCTGAGCTCTAGGGACAATGGTTCATCTTGCGGTACAGCCCACTGACAACACGATATTCCATATCTATACATGCGTCAGTCAGTTAACTCAAAGCAGTGTGAGTAAATGAAAGAAACATGAAGCGCAGTGGTCCGAGTACTCTTATGACAACAAAATATACGAACCCAGTAACTGACGTAGTCCGGTTAGAACGCAATGGCATGACCAATAACTTTTCCACCGTCTCCGGAGACTGAGTTATGGTAATGCCTATTACTTCACAGTAATCAAGGCCGGACCGAACAAGATAACAAAAAACCTATGCTGGTTAGGACATGATAGAAAAAGCACCGCGATGCGAACTATGCAAAACTGTTCTAACTCATCTAGACCATTACTCTGCACTTAGAACGACTAGAATCAGTTCAAATAATTCTTGAGCCACCATCCAGGGACATGAGCACAATTCGAACACAGCTGCTAGTACAAAGCTCATGAGATATGCCACGTCAAGGCCATACAAACCGTCTGGGTAGCGGGTTTTTCTCAGAAAACTAGAGTACGCTGTCGGTGACTCTCGAACGAAATGGCTGACGTGCGTACCTCAGCCTGTGAGAAAGCAATTATCCTATCAATATGGTCACACCTCTGAGATGTGGGAAATTACGATACAACTGGGCAAAACAGTAATTGTTACTCCTAAAAACTGTGATTACTTTAACGTGCTGAATAGTACTCAGAGAATGCACCTAAAGGGAAACAAAACGGCCTGTTTAGATAAATAAAAGGCCTGAAACCTAGTATTATCAATAACGATCGAGTTAGTAGTCAAACTGATAAGTCACAACGTAAATGAGACAGACAAAGCTACCACTCAAGAACCGCTTCTTGCGGAATATTTCTGCTCTCTTTGATGCGTTGCCAATACTCCAAAGTTAAGGAATATCGAGCAAGTCGACTTGGTAGGAAACCTAAGTAGTGTCATAAAGAATATTGTAAGTAAACAACTGGAGACACCAAAAGTTATGTCATCAGAGTGAACATACGGCATTGTCAACGTTTCGCAGAAAAGAGCAAGTGTACAGACGTTTGTTAAAATCATACCTGGATGATTCACTGAGTGTCCTAATCCGCTTCTCGAAAACGTGCAGTTCATCCACCATAACTGTAAAGAAAAGATGAAGGAGAAATTAAGAAATCCTTCCCAATTTACACAAAAAACAGCACGTAAGACGCAAAAACTCCTACAATATATAGTCCTAAAGTCTATGATGCCACAATAAAAAATGACTATAATAGAGAAAAACAGAAATACAGGCGACACAAACTACAAAATCCAGTTGGGACGCACAATCATTTTGAAATTTTCACGGGTGACACGAGGAAAACAAGCAACAATAGAGAGCAGCGAGCGCACAGCAGATAGCCATAAACACAACTGACCTGACAAGAATGGCTGAACAGAGATAGACAAACCAAGATGGCCGTCAGTGGATGAAGCCACTGATTGGTTGAAAAGTAGCTACGTAACATATGTAGCTTAGTAAAACAACATTCATAAACTCCAACTAAGGAGGTTCGTAACGATATAATAAAAACCAGGAGTCTGTGTGAAAATGCACTTGCAACTTTATACTTGTTAGTTATTAATGAATAAGTACAGTAATTATAGAAGTTGTTAGAGGGTTATCTCACAGGGACACTACAACTATTCACCCTCGATCAGCAGAGTTCTGAACGTTCCACTCACTACTGTTTAGTGGTGCCCATATCTGAGGATTCTCATTCTCTCGTCTTATTATTTATTTCTAGCATAGCTGACCCTCTGGCTAGTATGGGGAACGAATCTCATATGTTGCGGTGCAGTGACAAATGAAACCCAAAAATAAATAGTTAAATCTTTGACGCTGATCTCACAAGTTTTACTAACACATCCTGACCATAATTCATCAACCAACTATCAGCTCTAATTTGCCACTTGGTACGTCTTGACAAATAATCAGCACCTCGACTCGACAATATTCATCCAAATACATCTTCAAAATCCACTATCCCTGACTTTTAATTTCCAGATCCTTGACAACAAAGAGGTTATGAACAACAGCCGAGTAACGACCTAAATATTCGTAACATTTGTAACTGTACGGCGTAAACCTTGCACTTATACAGAACTTATTTATTCAGCAACTTGCTGGATACAACAAATTTAACGAAAGTGATCATAGAAATTGCGGTGACAAGCAAAATGAAACACATGCATATAAACTTGATATTCTTCAGAGACCATTAGAGGGGCGACTTCAATCTAGTCAGGAATCAGTTTTGAGTATCCGTGAGAAAAAACACAAGAGAATATCTCATAAACAAAAGTTAGTATCGCTTTAGGCACAACTAAAGCTTCATTTGAGGTTTGTTGTCAACATTCGCTGTGACTTACCACACAAGTACCGGAAAGATGACAGACACTCATGAAGAAAACTTACATTCGTGTAATAATGATCGAATGCATTGCCCAAAAAACTTAACAGACATATCTTTCACGTGTTCCGCAATATTCCGAGCATTGCTTTCATTACCATTCGTTCAAAAGAAGACTAACTGGACCTTCAAAACTGCTCGAGAGCTAAAACGTAATATGCCTGAAATCGATCGTAACCACAAACTGACGTTTTCAAAGAGGGGAAGGTCCTTTGCAAAACTTGCAGTACCTACTTCAACCTCAGCTACCATGATGTCTTGTGGTTTAACTAAAATCACGTAGATAACCTGGATAAGTAAACATATTCTATCTATTCCTCGGTCAAATTACACAAGCTACACGAAAATATTTTGTTAACATCGATAACTTACTGAGTAATAATCTCATGTTTGTCTAGTCCTCTTAGTACTGATCGAAGTCTACCGACCGAATCACTAAGTGATCACTTAGCTTAAGTGGTTCGCACGGATTGCTTTAACTTTATGTGGTTGCGTGGAAAAGTACAGCCAACGTTAGAGGTATAATCACGTGGAGTTCTCAAGAAGAATGCTGAGATGCGTATGTATACTAAGACGTCAACTTATATTTTGCGTGGACTAGCTTCTCGTGATGATTTTGTGCTTGGAGACATTAAATGATCGTGCGAATCACACTTCCGTTGTAAGAAATAGCAGTAAACTTCGGACAGACATCCTAATACTAACAAAATCACAGTACTGTATGTCCACTGTCAACAAATATGGCAGTGCGAATATATTTGCCTAGGTGTTTTCTATAAAGTGCTATACGCCCTCTTGTTTGTAACATTCCTTCCAATTATAAACCATTACCTCGATTATCCTCTCAATAATAACGCGCGTCCACTACTAACAGCAAAAAAAGTAATATCATTGTGTTGTAGTTTCTTAGCTACGCGACACAGTTTAGTGGGAAACAGACTACTAATTTCTATCCATATCTGTGACGTAGTCACCAGGTTGAAGAACTGAGTAAGGCTGTCGTTGGACTTCAAAGAAATTTACTAAATATTTCTAAAAGTCACATAGAATCCTAAAGCACTTTTTAATGATAATAATTATAATAATTTGTTGTCGAATAACAACATGTTACGAGAGGCCCACCTATTTACAGACAAGACCAAAATGTTAAGATTGCTAACATATTTGTTTTAAAACCTTGTTTAATAACTGAAATATTTCACCAGATATATTGGCTTCGTATAGAAGGTTAACATTTTTCACATAAAACTGTAACTAATTCTCCAGACTCTGCAATGCACAATCCGAATAACTGGTGCGAGTTACAGTGGTAGCGTTACGACGAACTGCTAGTGACTGCGAAACAATTTGAGGTAGAGCCAGGTAAACGTGCTAAAGTGTGGTTGATATTCTTCAGATAATAAATTCACAGGCTCCTGAGTAGAGCAACCGATTCTTCGGCAAGTATCTAGACTAATATATAAGAATTTGAGTAAGGTGCAGAAATAAAAAAGAAATAAAGAGGACAGGGTGAGGAACAGAACAGAAGATATTCATGTTTGAACCCGAACAATGACCCATCAGTTACCTTTTAAAAATTAGAACACTAGCTGTACACCTGCACCTATGTAGGTTAATAAAGAAAGTTCACTATCGCACACTCAACAACAAATGCAAGAGAAGTCGACCAGTGTGGCAGCAGCCTCTGCAGCAGTAGGTCTCAACATACGTAAAGGAAAAAGCAAAATTCTCCAATGCAACATGACAGGCAACAACCAAATCACTCTTGATGGAGATGCTTTCGAGGACGTTAACAACTTTACATATCTGGGCAGGATCATCGACATTCACGGTGGATCCAATGCAGATGTGTGGGCGCGGATTGGCAAAGCGAGGGCTGCATTTCTACGGTTGAAAAATATCTGGAACTCCAAACAACTTTTAACCAAAACAAAGATCAGGATTTCCAATACAAATGTCAAGACAGTTCTACTGTATGCAGCGGAAACTTGGAGAACTACCAAAGCCATCATCCAGAAGATACAAGTGTTTATTAACAGTTGTCTACGCAAAATACTTCAGATTCGTTGTCCAGACACCATCAGAAACAACGTACTGTGGGAGAAAACAAACCAGATTGCAGTGGATGAGGAAATCAGGAAGAAGCGGTGGAAGCGGATAGGACACACATTGTAGAATCTTTTTGAATGTTTTGTTTTTTGGAAAATCCCTCCATGTTTATATATTTTTGTTATGACATGACGGACTCTTTCTGTTGACATTTTTGGTATTTTATTTGATTCCAATTTGAGATTTTATCATTGTATATTGTTATTATTTCTATATTTTGTGTTTATATTGAAGTTTTTATGTTTGCTTCTGAACTGTATATATGTTGTTTAAATTTGACCTTTAATATGGCTACAGCCATATTTGGATTGATCCGGTTGCAGTTGGACTTAACGCCACTTACTCATCCTTGTTGGATACTCTTCGGAGTAATTGTAACCTGGAAGGAGCATTAATTCCAGGTAATGCTTTGTATTTCCATGTTTTTATTAAATAAGACCGCTTTCTCCTAGAATTTTTGTCCTTTTTTGATTTGTTTGGACCTGGGACTGGGAGAAACGAGTGCAGGTGTGCACCTATTGGAACCCATTGGAACTGCCACCGTATAAATCGATTTAAACACATTGCGGAAAGCACCTAACTGCGTCACGAGACAAGCCCTCACATGGAACCCTCAAGGCAAAGGAAAAGAGGAAGGCCAAGAAACACTCTGTAGATGGATTTTCTACCGTAGCAGTTCAAATTGTTTCCAGTAAGTGCAAATCGAACGCGCTATCTCCCAACCCAATGTCAAAAACACAATAATTCTAGGAGAAAGCGGTCTATATTACATTAAAAATGGAAATACAAATCAATACCTGAATTTTGATGCACTTTCCAAGTCACAATTACTCCGAGGAGTATCCGAGTTAAAGGGAATAAGTGATGTTAAATCCAACCGCCACAGTATCAATCCAAATATGGCTGTAGCCATATTAAAGATCAAATTTAAACAACATATATACAGTTCAGAAGCAAACATAAAAACTTCAATATAAACACAAAATATAGAAATAATAACAATATACAATGATAAAATCTCAAATTGGAATCAAATAAAATACCGAAATGTCAACAGAAAGAGTCCGTCATGTCATAACAAAAATATATAAACATGGAGGGATTTTCCAAAAAAATCATTCAAATAGGATTCTAAACACACTACGCCGATAAATAGAGAAAGATATGAGAGGAATGAACAAACATTGCACAGAACTGGGAAAGGAAGCCCAGGACAGTGTTGATTGGAGAAAACTGGTGGGCGGACTATGCTGCATTGGGGTAACAGGCGTAATTAAGTAAGTAAGTAACTAGTGAGAGAACGAATGATCCACCTAATATTCAAACTATTAACAAACCACGAAAGATTCCATTCCGATTGTCACTCATACAAGTAATGCGAATTGTTAGACACATTCCCTTGCTAGTACTAAGAGCAATAGTTAACGCCAATAAGGTCGGGACTGTCTTTAAACAACAGCTGCCATGTTTCGCATTCCAAACCATCTCATCAACTTAATCCTTGCGCGCAAGAGATTCACCAGGATGAGACTATATTCAGCCTGTAGTTTCGAAAAAATATGCAGAAGCCCGCGGT